TCACTGAAAAATACTTGCAAAAAACCGCGAGAGTTGAAAAAGTACTTAGGCTACAATGCCACAAAGGACGAAGAAGACATTAATTAAATGTCTTAACTATAGTCGTATACACTATACTTTTACTAAAAAAATACTATGTGTAGAGGGGAATGGGAGTAGCGCCCTATATTTTCTGTTGGCTATACTCATGAATCTATAATAATAATAACATAAAATTGAATAATATAAATAATAATTACAATAATATAAACAACAATAATAATAATAATAAAACTTAATGAAATAGTTTACTAAATGTTATTCTCATCCACTTAAAAAAATTATTTTTTCCCAAAAATTACAACGGTATAGAACTAATACCAAAGCTCTAAAAAATTTATCACACTACAAAATTACCAAAAAAGTAAAGATCAGAAACCACAGATTATTGATTTGTTTTTGACCAGACTTCAAAAACTTGGCATAATACCTATATGCCTAACGGACTTAATGACGTATTTTGGCAAAATAACCTTAATAATCGTAAAAGAGACTTAAAAAAAAGTTCATATAACATCAAGTTAATTATCAGAAAAAAAACCCACTGATACCAATAATATATATATATATATATATATATATATATATATATTATATTATATATATATATATATATATATACAGAAGACTTTTCAAAATTCTATGGCACATTTGGACAAATGACATCCTCAGGGACATCAAGATTGATCCCATCAAAAAATACATAAAGGATAGAGCCCTGAAATTATGGTTACAGGCTCCTCGGGGAGGTATGCAGATCTGAGGTCAATTATTGCTTCGTCTGAAGTGATAAACAATAATCTAGTCAAGGTGTAAAGAGAGGTTTTGAAAACACCTCGAGTTAAAAAAGAGTATAAGTGCTTAAGTGCACTAGCTCGAAACAGCATCAACATATTTAATTACAAATATAAAGAATAATACTTAATCCAATTATTTTGAATTAAAAGAGATAACGATGTCAATTATCGAGTCATACATTACAGACTAATTGAAATCAATTAAACAGTATTAAACTCAGAAGTCTATATAAGTAAGATAATTTGTATATATGTAAATTACACGTAGATATTATAAATTTATTTTAACTAAATTTATATTTTTAATATTCATGCACGACGCAATAAATTATTAGAGGATTCCATGGAGAGCGCTTATAGAGTTCTGCCACATCTTTGACAAATAGAATTCTGAAACTAAATTTACTATAAAAAATTGAGCAGTATGAAGAAATTATCCACAAGATTAATGTCGCATTTGTTCTCTATGAGCTGTAAGCGTGATCATGTATGGATTTCGAAAAAATATGGTGAAAAAGCTTCAATGTAGTCCTGCTAAATTTTTGACTCTACACACATATGAGATGCAGAAACAATCAAAACCATAAACAAATACAATATATTATATATGTAACTCCAGAATTTACTCCTGTGAAACATTCTATTCCGAAATAATAGTATTGATAATAGTAGTAATTATATTACCTAAAGTAAATTATTGTGATGTAGGCACAATAATAATCTTCTACAAGCAGAGGATAGCTAAATAATTGCACTGAGGCTTATTAAGACATGTTGGAAAAATGGTATTTATTTAAAAATTTTTAAATGATAAAAAAAATGATAAAAAAATAAATTAATAAGAAATTAATTAAAACAGAAAAATAGATAATCTTAAAAAAAATTAAAACATAATTGGTAAAAAATAATGAACTATCAATACTCAGCTCACGAATACTGATATCTCTTAAATTGATCGAAATGGAATCCTAAAAAATGAGATAACATAACGTCTACTGTAAATTCAAATAATAAGCATTTTCCATAAAAAATATTAAGGCAATGCACATCAAGTAACTCTTATTTTGCAACAAATGTTGCCTTTTGGTAAAAGTAAAAGCAGCAAAATTGCAGAGATAAATGTAAAAAAATTGAGGAAATAATTGCTAATTGTTGTTATTGTATATATAACAAATATTTTTATAATAGATCAACTTTTATCCAAATATCTTTAAACCCACTAAACTGAATTTGCAATGATGCAATATATTCGAATTTTTTGCAAAATAGTATATGGATCTGTGGCTTTTGAAAAAGTTGTTTTAAAATGTTACAAAATAATATGGTAAGGAGATTTGTGTTAAATATCTGTATATAAGTCTATTAATATACCCATTAAGTATCATTTTAATTTGTATATAAATTATAAGTATTGTGGGAAAATAATTGTGTGAGCATGTTAAATCTCAAAACATATTTTAACAAGCATTCCTGTTTTCCTAAAATGGTTTTAATGTAGATTAAATCATTAAATAAAGTTATTTAATAAAATTCCATTTTTACTTACTTAAATAAATTAATAGAGGATTCAATGATTAATTAGTTGATCAGTTACTTTAAGTAAAATACATCAGATAACACTTACAAATTTTATTGTCTGTACATGTATATTGGTGATGTCATATTTGCACTAATCCATATAAGTTTAAATTGATTAAGATTATAAACACCAAACATTAGTAAAAACTAGATATTTATTGCCAATTTTGGACTTTTTGTTTAGAAAATAGCTATACTTTATTATTACCCAAGTCATTATAGAGCGTTAGAACTTTTAATTAGCAATGATACCTAACATCAACTTACTAAACTCATATTAGTTAACAATTTTTTTAACATATTTATAAAATATCATAAATAAAACATCATTTTAAATTATAATTAAAGAAATATTTAAATATTTTTATTAAAACAATATTTGCAATTGTTTTTAAATTAACATTAAAAATTCACAGAAATCGATTCTCTTTATAAACTGCTTTTACTATAAGTAATAAATGGTATAAAAAAATTTTTTTAAAACATAATATACACATATGTCCAGATTACTGGATTATAATGATTTTTAGACAAAAAACTTATTTCCAAAAATAAAAATAATTGTTTAAAATTTGTAAATAAAACACATATATAAAGTCAATCCAGAAGCACTGAATTTCTATAAAACACTTTTTTGATGTGATAAATGTATGGTATATCTCAGTTAAAGAGAAAACATAATATCTCTTCAACAATATCTCTTCAGTAGTTTTACTTAATGGTAAAATTTTTCATAACATATTATTAATTATACAAAGCGGTACAAAAATAAAACGAAATGAAGAAAGGAGGAATATCTAATACCTCAATAATTGTTTCGCGTAAAATAAACAATTTTATACTCTGAAGTCATTTCATAAATAAATTTGAGAACTTAAAAAATTTCTGTAGGAATCGTTTTTATAAACATTTTCAACCTTGAAACCCAACGAATACTTAGAACCCAACGAATACCAGAGAATGCCTAAGTAAAACGCAACGTAATAGAAGAACCGATCAATTAATACCACATCGGGATCATTAATAAAATTGTATTAATATTGGTCGAGCTTCAGTTACATAAAATATTATACAAAAACGTATTCAACTAAAAACTGAAACGTATAAATATATATAAAAATGCATATAAAAATATATATAAAAATATATATAAAAATATATATAACAATATACATAACAATATATATAAAAATATACATAAAAATGTATATAAAAATATATACAAAAATATATCCAAAACATATATAAAAATATATATAAAAATATATATAAACATATATATAAAAATATATATAAAAATGTATATAAAAATATATATAACAATATATATAAAAATATATATAACAATATATATAAAAATATATATAAAAATTATATAAAAATATATATAAAAACATATAAAAATGTATATAAAAATATATATAAAAATATATATAAAAATTATTAATTTGTTGTGCTATTTTAAAATTGTATATATGTATAAAATTGGATATAAAGAAATATAAAATCGTTGTTCCTTATTGATCATGCACAAAGTATATACAAATATAATTTTATATACTAAATCCAGAGTTATTTTGATATACATAATTGAAAGTAAATTAAATAAAATTTGGAAGGAATTAAATTGTAAATGAAACGTATTTGAAGCTACTACAAACTTAAAAAGTCATATTATGAAAATGTTATGAATACAAATGTATATCCATATATAAAAAATAGTCATTGTTCTATAAATTAATGGTAAAATTAATAGAAGTCTTTTTTTTTTGTTTATTTTTCTGTTTGTAATATAATAATTTACTATGAGTTATTTGTTGTTGTGATCAAGTAATTAAAAAATTATTTTTTTTTGGTTTTTGAAATTAAAGAAATGTATATATATATAAAAAATATGGAGCAACAACCAAGAATTTTACAAATATTATCGTTTACTTCTTCTTCTTCTTCTTGCCCTTCTTTCCCTTCTTCTTCTTACCACAAACTCCCTTTAATTCGGCATCGAGTTCAGCTTCACGTATTTGAGTCTCTGTTGTGACGGTACGAACGGGCATTACAAATGGTTGCTTTGGAGTCTTCAATTCAATTTCAATGGTATTCTTTTTATTACGACTTTTTTGCTTACTACCAAGTTTGACTAAGAAAACATCACTATCGGTATCTTCGCATGTCTTGTAACAAACCTGATGTGCAAATGACAAATGTGTAAAGCGATTATTTTGTAATATTAACAAAAAAATGTAAATGAAAAACTCATGAATATGTTATATCAACTTATTTTACTTTAGACTCCTTCCAAAAATATACAAACTGCATGTAAATATTTTTGCATGAAAATGCATTCTCTAATAATTGGAGCGTTTATGCAACATAAAAACTAGGCCATACACCGAAGAAGTAAGTATTCAGTAGTTTTTCATATGCGTACGTTAAAAGTAATTTCCTTTCATCCTAAACTTTTATAAACGAAATTGCCAACCACCAACTGCAACTGCAACTGCTTGAGTTTATGGTTACATAAAAGTGACTTGTTTAATTTATTTATTTTTTTTTTTTTTTTTGTATTTGGATTTTCCTATTGTAAGTCGAAAAAATTTGAATCGATTGCAATGCACCATTGTTTGAATTTTAAGCTATGCTACAGTGATTTATTTGTGGTAATAAGAAAATTGAATGCAACAGATTCAATTGCAGTTGCCAAGCAGACAAAATCTACTTAAATTTTTCATCCATTACAGTTACATTTTAATAGAATCAAGAAAAATCACATTTTTCCTTTACTCTTGTTTCATATTTAATGTAAATAGATATGATTAAGTATAAAATAATAATATTAAAATAGTATTCACCAGTAGTCATTATGATACGTTCACCACAACTATTTAGTCGCACTATCAAGTTTTTATTAATAATTAACTACGGTGCTTCCTTAACTTATGATTACCAAATCAGATCTTCAACGAGAAATTAAAATACTTTTTAAAGAGAGGTTCTGGAAGATCCTCAAAAAAGGAAGCCCCTAACATAGTCAATCGATGCCGCACGTTTGCTAACTACCTACAGCTGGAATGATTATACAGAGATTCAATCTTTTAGCATGATTTATTTTATAAATGGCTGCGAACCGGCAACAAACCTGCCACAAGATATTTATACTGTAAGTTTATACTTGTAAGTCTTACAATAGCCGAAAATATCGCTAAAACTGAGAACACAGAATAGAGAAATGTTAAATTGCGTCAAAATCTCATTCAGCAACAGTCAGTCAAAGACCGTCGACAATTTACCGGATATAAAGTAAACTGAACACACAGGAGTTAAGAGCAGCTTGACTGTCTGATAATTTATATACATTGCTATTCAATACAATATTTATTTACAGAGAAGCTATAGCTTGCTAATAGCGATCGTCTTCGCCTAAAAAAACACTGCAGTGTTAAAAAAGCCTATAATATACTGATTTCCTTCTACAAAACTCCACTGCCTTCACCACTTCCAACTTTCAAGCTGTCTCTCTCTTCTGAACATGGTATGCTATTGAATACCATATAGTTCGAAGCCCTTCCACTATACTGTGATGGAATAACATTGTAGGCCTTATAATAACCTTTTATATGGTCATTTAATTGTGAGTTTTTGTGGCCCCCGCTTCTTACCAATAGCTTTTTAACATAGAAGTAGTGCTAAAGTATAGATTATCTACATTTAAAAAGAATTCCTAATGTCCAATTTTGTAACGATACAAATAATTAATGTGGTAGATCTAAAATATCCCCTTCGGAATGTGTTTTACAGACAAGTGCAAACTGTTTGAGCGATGTTATTCTTAAAGCATATACTTCAGAAGTTGATAAGTCTCTAGCAGATGCAGATTGAAATAATTATTGGAAAAATCATCAGCTGTTTCGTTTGCCTCATCACTTAGAAGACTTAAATATTATTTAACTCTTTTACATATTATAAATACGAATAAACATTTCCAATCTATCAATCAGAAACTTTAATTTGAAGTTTTGCGGTAGGTGTAATTTACAGCCGAATTGTTTACTTTTAATCTTGCACTTCAAATACTCTGACTTTAAAACCCTTATATATATTATAAATCATATAATAATATAACTATATAAAAAAAGAGTCTTTTATATTTACCTCAATTCCTTTTTTATTGACATCATAGTTTATACCCTTTAATGTTTTTTGTATTTCCTGTGGATTTACTTGTAAACAACAATTGCGTGTATCGGTTGGTTTAAGTGCTGGTATTGTTGGACAATTATCACCAGTATTTTTACGATATTGTTCAACTTTATTGTCACGATTGTCACAAATTTCCTTTATTTTTGTGCAGGGTACATGATAATCACCAGGACAACAGAAATCATCACCAGCATAACGTATATTGGCACGAATTTTTGGAATTTTCGGGTTGTTATGAATGAATCCGCCAGTACGACGCTTAACATATTTTCTTGCAAATGAACTTTTTTGTAAAAGTTGGTTTAGATCACAATTACTTGAACTCTAACAATATAAATATATAAATATGTATATACATATATAAACATGTTCAGTTTTCTACTAATAATTACTTGACATACCTTTGGTTTATCACATTCACTACCACTATCATCTAACCCTTCATCCTCACCATCATTTACACTTTCAACCTGATGTGTGTCCTTGAGTACACGAATGGTAAGACCACTGCCGTTAAGACAAGCTTCAAATTCATCATATGCTTCAGGACCGGGATCTGGCTTAGTAGGATTTATAAAGCACGGTTTTATACATGTACATTTAGGCTTAGGCTTTGGTTTTGGACATTTCGGCTTTGGTAAGCACGGATCAGACTCACTACTTTCCTCCTCTTCTCCTCCTTATATATATATGAACAGAAGAAGAAGCAGACAAATTTTTATTTTCAGTATACTACAAATGAAATATACATTTATTGGAATAGAACATACCCTTCTTATTTAATATATTACTACATTTTTACATGGTTATGGATTTGAGTTTGAAAATATAATTTTGAAAACACAATAAATTTTGAATGGCTATAGTTAAACTATGGAGATTAATTTTGAGTATTTCTAGTTTCCATTACTGTATTTTTTTATAATGTAGTTCAATTTCCGTAATGCTCTAGCCTTGGCTATAATGAAACGTAAAACGAATTTTAAATTAATTTCAAAATCGCTTCTTATGAGCAAAATTTATACGAATCGCACCCTAATTTGAGATCGGCACGTATTATTTATAATTTAATATTATTGAAAAGTATATTAGTAAAGATTGAATTAGATTATTACAGCCATAGAAGTTTAAATTATGTTTAAATTTGCTCATAAATGCTTTAAACGTATTTTTTTTTTATCAAAAACTATCATTTTTGACTGTTTAGGATTTAAAAGAAGATAACTTACTATTTTGCGATCCTTACAAAAATATATAATTTATTTGGTGCCTTACATTGAAGCATTAGGTTCACAATATTCTATCAAAAAAAAACTGTATTATCTTCATTGAAAACTGTAAACTAAAGCATCAGTGCAAATAACAAAAAAGGGTACGATCCATTTCCAAAATTTGTTTTTAATTTTTTTACCTGCTTCACACTCATCTAAGCACTCATCACAGGTACAGCAGCAAGTGCATGCTTGAGTATCTTCCTCTGGGCAACAAGATGTTTGGCGACCTTTTGGTCGTTGTTGTGGACAAGCTAAAATAGTTCAAAATAAGGCTTTAATCAGCAAATAAATAATAAAAGTGATTTTCTTTTATTTAATAGTTTTAATAAATAAATTTTTACATATTTATATAAATTATAATTATAAACTTTTATTATAAACTTTGATTAAAAGTATCATAGTCATTTGTGGATAATTATTGCATATAATGGAATATTCTTTAATTGCTGCTTAATAATTTTCGATACTATACATACATAAGTTCAACGCTTATATTTTTGTATCCTACATATTATAATATATAATATATAAGACGGAATAACATAACCAACTGCTATTTAAACACACAATAGCATTCTATACAATATCCAAAGTAATGCCTAAAGCAAGATTAAACTGCAGTCGTTGGCAAAAGCAGCTGGGAATTGTTATCATTGTCCAATTATATTAAATACAGTCACCAGCGTTCGTTGTTCTATCATATCCAGTGTTACTGAATTCTTCTTAGTATCCGTTTCCCCAAGTGCCGCTATGCCCCATTTTTGATATTTCAATTATAATATAAAACTACATTGTTTAAATTAACATTAAATTATTATAATTACAAATTTTTTGCAATTTCTGTAAAAATAAAAATTTTTTTACTTGAAGAATAATATTCGAATATTGGTGATCTTATAACATAAAACAACATTGTTTAAATTAACATTAAATTATTACAATTAAAAATTTTTTGCAATTTCTGTATATTTTTCTCTGCATCCAGCTATACTTCTAAGGTCTATTGACGGATGTTTTGCAGCCATGAAAATTGTTTCCTACCAATACCGCGTTTCCTTTAGATTTTTCCCTGAATAATCATTTGGAATAGCTTATGTTTTGGATTTCTCATAATATGCCCTAGATAGGCTGTTTTTCTTCTCTTTATAATTGCTATCAATTTGCAATCACAGTTTATTCTTCGTAAAACTTCATTTTTTGTAATATGGTCCGGCCATGGAATTTCGAGAATCATCATGTAATGATTGTAATCGTTCAATTACTTAACATTCGCCATTCGTCATACGGTTCTATTTTCTGATGTCTCTATTTAATTACCAAGTATATTGTTTAAGTCTACCTCAGGACGCACAGAAAGATATACTGATCTACGGTCCGTCATCAGTTAGAAGATAAATAAATAATAATGATTCTAGTATAGTTAAAGATTAGTGTGGGGCAGGGATAAGCCCCCCCAATCACAAGAGAGTAAAAGTGCGCAATAGCACTAGCTCAAATCACAACAACAACAACATAGTATATTGTATGTTATTGTATATTTTGTATATTCATTTAATAAATTTACTATATCTTCGTTCATCCAATGATTTCTTTTCTCAGTCAAGATTCTCTTTCGATGCAGATGTAAGCGTTGTTTTGAGTTGTTTTCATATAGTATCTAGGTTCCCAGAATCAATAATATCAATGCGCTAATTTATTTTATTTTGTAATAAACATTTTATGTCGTTATTTCTTAGTTTTTCTGAGTGTAAGTCTTGCCTTTTTTTTTGTCATTTGATGCTAGTCTTATACAGATATTTATTGTTAGAAGATTGTGATCAGAAGTTATATCTGCCCTAGGATAGTTGTGATTTTATTACCTATAGCGCAGAAGCGATCATTAATTAGAATGAAGTCTATTTGATTTCTGATAATGTTGTCAGGAGCGTCAAATGGATAAAAAGATAGATGCATAAAAAAATTCTTTTTCGTCGTCACTTTTCTCCGTATTTGGCGCATATACTTGAATAATATTTATATTAATTGGTTTGTCATTCATTAATTTTCACACATCATAGACCTATCTGAATTGGGAATAAATTCAATGACAAATTCTGCAATATATTTTTTCAGTAGTATGCCTATTCCATTACAATGATTTTTGTTTCGATTGCGAAAATAATAAACTTTTGTGTTTTGAGAAAAGGGTTCCCCACAGTTGAGCTATCATGCTTCGCTTACGTTAAGTGTATCTATATTATCTTTCATTTCTTAAATTATACTAACTAATTTTCCAGATTCATATTAGCTTCTAGTAGTATTCCAGGCTACAATGTTCAAAGTCTGTTTTGTTTTACCTTCGGGATTCTTAGCACCCTCGTATTCCCGGAGACTGAGCGTCATGATTGTAGTTGTAATTCAATTGTTATATGATATCATGGGACATGCACTTCAGTGGTTTCCCATTGACTTTTGATCTTAATCCGCTTGATCCAAGTACAGACGTCCGCTTTAAGCCGGAGCTCTGGTAACAGACGCTGAAAATTTGAGGATTGCTTTTAGCTTCGATATTAACAGTTATCTTACCGGCTTGGGAAGCTCTACTAGTAGCTATGCTACCGCCGATAAAGCTCTTAAGAACATCACATCTATTAAGCCCCTTTATCGCGCTAAGATAGCAATTCCCGAATGAATACTATTTATCATCAAATAATCCAAATATCTGAATTCGCATCAAATACATGTAGAGTATAAAGTACATACTGATTTCTAACGGAACGAAGCAATCTGACCGTGGATGACATTTCTTATCTTATGTATCAATTATTTTGTGAATAATTACATATTTTACATGTCATTAATAAATATAAATAACAATTTTTGTAAATTAGTATATATTTTATAATTTTTATTATTAAATAATATTTAACTTTTCTAAAATTTAGTATTGGATTTAAATTTAGTATTAGACAGAAATAGTTATTTCTTAATTATTTATAACACTAAATTTTGAATAATACAAATTAGAATTTCTGAATTTTTTTACTATTAAACAATACTGAACGCCTGATCGTCGGTTACTTACGAGTTCTTTCCATCAAATTAGCTACACCGAACCTAGCATGCACCTTGTTTTACTGTACTTTTCAGTTACATTTTTATGTTATTATGAATCTCAACAAATGTTAATTCTTTGAATTTTTTTAATAACAACGACTACGAAAACTATGTATTCAATATCGAACAGCAATAAATAAGCTGTAAGAACTTGTGGAAGTTTATTATCGAAATTGATATACGAATTAAAGTTAAAATATAGTAATTTAAATAAAATACATAGCCACAAAGCGTTATGACGATTTGTCACAATAATTTTTAGTATTTAAGATGCATTAATTTTATCTATTCATATTAAAGTTTATTTATTATAATCTTACCTTGTGGGCATTGGTCAGAGCATCCTGAAGAACTACTTGGCACATTACAGGGAGCTGCTTTCTGTTTTTTAGGAGTACATGGTTTCGGACACTCTAGATTACCAAATTAATTAATAATAATTTAATATTGGTAAAAATAAACAATTGTACCTATTTCACCACGATCGCAATAGTCTTCACACTCGTCAAATGGACAACCTTTTTCAGCATTACAACCAAAATATCTGCGAACTGGTGGTGCTTTTTTCTCAGGCTTCTTACATATTGCATCAAGGGGATTTGGTGGTGGTTCTTTGCAGTTTTTAGCACTCTTCGGTGGTTTCTTACATGGATCGCATGGTTTAGAGCAAAATCGAGAGAAAGGAAAACTGGATACAATTGCGGGACCGTTACATACCAAACGCATTATCAAAACAATATTTCCTGTTTGTGCACCTTTCATATTAAAAAGTGGTAACAAGCGTTTTGTAAGTTCCGAGGCCGGACAAAATTGTTCACGTCTACCCATATCTTCATCTTCACAATCATTATCAACAACATTAGAACTTCGAGGTTTACCACCACCACCGTTTTCCTCTCCTTTAAAATATATTTTATAATTTAAAAATTATTTTCAATTTATATATGCACATAAATGTCAAAAAAAATTTGTTTATATATTTTATTTTCACCTCCATCATTTCCTTTGCCTTTTTTGAAATCTGGCATTGGCTCTGTATGTTTTAGCGACTCTTCCCAATTCGGGTTATCAATATTGAAATTCTCAGTAACCTTATCGAAGAGCGTCTTTATTGCCAAATCTGTTGCACCAATTAAAAATTTGCATTTCTCTGTCTTTTTCTTATATATATGGATTAATAGTCGATCCTTGTCAGTAACGGGAGATTCCAAAGAAAATAGACAACATTTACCAAGTTTTGGTGCACACATATCTACGCATTGACCAAATTCGCGATCACAAATGTTAACGAAAACGCTAGACCGAAATGAAATTTCGCAACATGTTGGGTACTCCTCTGGAGCGCAACAGTTCGGTCGCGTTATTAATAGGTCATCGACCACAAATTCGAACATGTACAGAAAATTTTGCGCCATTTTTGATAAATTTTGTAATGGAAATTAAATAGAAATACTGAAATGTGCTGTCGGAAAATTTATACTAAATGAAAACTATTTGTTTTAGAAACTATATCATTTTTATAAAACAAAAATTTTTCTATGTATGAAGCTATGCAGATATGTTTTTATTTTAGTTACAAAGTTTACTTAGATTGCCCAAATTTAAATTTGAAGATAAATAATCTATGCTTCACGCAAGTAGTTTTTTCAATTAATAGTAACAATTACAATTCAACGTTCGAAAAATGGCTGTCGATAATTTTTTAAAATTGTTCCCAAATAAGGAAACCTTCACCCTTGAAAAATAGAACACTATTGACACAGTTAATCTTTTTAAAATCTAACAACTGTAGGAATATAAGAGAACATGTTCTGAAATACATACTTTTCGTTCCAGCAGCACATACAAAAACAGATGAAATAACATAAATGACATAATTCATTTATGTTACCAAGAAATATAAGATTAATCTACTTTTAATAAATATGTCCACCAGTTTTATTGCAATGCAGAATACAAGATCCATATATTTCGTTTTTATATTTATAAATTTCAGCGCATTTCAAATGATACATAATTGTTAAGAGTTTTTGATGAAATTATATCATTTTATGAACACAAATTGTTGTAATTAAGATTTTTTCATCTCTTCAATTTGCTTCAATAATAACTGCATCCGATCCTTCATTAACGGCTGTCCACGTTTGGTTTTTTTACTTAAAACTTTTGTTCTATCTAATCGCTTCTTTTTGTAATTTTTTATTTTCGCTTCTTTTTCCTGTTTGGCCCGATCACGTTCTGACTTGATTTCTGCAATTTTTTGAGCCTTTACCAGATTCTTCTGCTCATTCTTTTGTTGTTTTGCCTGCAAAAAAATTCATCGCTAATTTATTGAAGCATTTGTACCTTATGTATTACTTACATTTTTTTTGGCTTGCTTGATTTGTTTTAATTTTCCAACATTAACATGTGTATTTTTTTGAGTGCGATTTATTTGTTTTTTATTATTCTGTTTAACAGGTTTGGTTTTCTTCGTGCTGCCCATTTTATTTCAAACATTGAAAACACAAAACACATTTCAATTGCGGTCAAATGTCATAAAGCTATCAGGGTTGCCTTTAAAATGTTTTCGTTACTACTTTTTATATTTGACACTAATCAAATAGGCAAAATATTAACTGCATGCATGTATCATATGTAAATATATAATGATTTATATAAAGATATACAAGAATATATATATTTTTTTGTATTGTACTATATGTATATTATTCTAGATTTTTTTTAAAAATAAAATTTTTCAAATATCAGTTTTTGCTCATTTCTTTTGTATGATTTGAAAAATGCGCATCAGAGATTTGAGATTTTCAAAATTCTATATATAATAAGAGTATTCAGGATGTCTGTGCATCGTTGCATGTGCAAAATTATTTGATTTTGCAGAAACAATTCCCTTTCTAATAATTCGCCACTTGATTTGCAAGACAATATTCAAGATTATATTTTCAACACCAATTACCTCTTCCGTATTTGATTTTCAAGACTTTATTGTGAATGATACTACTTTTTTACTGTTCACTGGACAATACTTTAGTGAAACTGTCAAATTTTTTTTGATTTTGTCATTTTGTGATTTTGTGCAATTATTTGATTTTATATTTATTTTACCTGCAACAATGTCAGAGCTGCTGGCCAAAAATATTAGGAATTGTGGCAACGAAAAGTAGACCAAGACTATCGTTTAAGACTAATATGCACAAAGTGTGTTCACGATTATTTGAGTTTGCAATGATGCACACTCAACGATGCACAAACACCCTGAATACCTCTATTATGCATTTTTGTTTTGTTTATTTTATTTTTTTGAAAAGAATAAACATTTTTCAATATTAATTTATAAATACCAAATCAGCTTTCCATAATAACGTTTCAAGCTGATTGCTCATCAATAGATTAAAAAAAGCAACAATTGTCAATATGAAAACCCCAAACGATAATGTGAACGTTGACGTTTGGAAATCAACTTTAGCAAAGTTCGTAATGTAAACATGTTATAAATTTCATCACAAATATATTTCAAATGTTATTTCCATAGTATTAAGAACAAGTGTTAACTGCTTAGCTAGTGACTTCATTGAAAATATAACGCAAGATTTTTACATATACATATTTTATTAACATTTGCCTGTTATTATTTGCTGACAAAATTCTAATATAGGCCGTATGCGAGTTCGAGTAAATTAATGGTAAATAGGAAATAGTTAATTATGTTGGTATGGCAGCGAATGTTGATATTTACCAGAATTTCGAGTAGGGTAAATTACGTAAGTAATTAACTAAATTAGGTGTTACAATTGTGAAAATTTTATAAGATGTTTAATAAATAAAAATAATAAATAACTGCAATAAATAATTATTTACATAAGTGCAGTGCAAAAAATCCCTAAGAAATTTCAATTTACTTTACCTCAATTTACTCGAACTTGCACATGTATTTGCAATCGAAATATGAACATAAAATGCATAACATACATGACGGTTCACTCTCACAATCTCTCTTACCGTATTAACTTTTATTGCTTTTGTTTACTGTATTGTATTTTTAATGTTTAATGTTTAATGTAAATTATTACAGATCTACCAAGAGTAGAGTGCAAATTTGTAATAATAAAATACAACCATGACATTTTCGCCTGAAATGTGAACTACAGCCAAAAATATGCTTCGAGCGAAAATTAAATGTCAAGCCGTTTAGCGCAACGGCTACTTTAAATTGAAGAAGAAGAAGGTGAAAATACTAGTGAGTTTAGTTGTTCGCAAATTTTCCAATAGTAAGCGGATTTTGTTAAACTTTACATTGACAATTGCGATGAATACGTCTGCTGGTACAAGCATGAATGCAAATCAACGTAAAGCGTCAAATCAGAATATACAAGTTTATGTCCGCGTCAGGTAATCATGCAACAAATACAGTTAACATTAAATAAATAATGTATTTTATAGACCATTAAATGCACGGGAACGTTGCATACGTTCAACTGAAGTTGTCGATGTAGTATCACCGCGAGAAATTGTAGCGAGACATGCCTTAGATTCTAAATTAACGAAAAAATTCACATTTGATCGGACTTTTGGCCAAGATTCTAGGCAGCATGAAGTGTATGGTACTGTGGTAGCACCATTGATCGAAGAAGTTCTTTCTGGGTATAATTGTACTGTCTTTGCTTACGGTCAAACCGGTACCGGAAAAACACATACAATGGTTGGCAATGAATGTGCAGAGCTGAAATCATCATGGGAAGACGTAAGTGCCTATATTTCATAATCAATTTTAATTAAATTTGTACAGTTTGCCAAAATGGGTATGTGTCTATACCTCTATTTGATATCTATGTTTTGTATGTTTAGATATGAGTTAGTGTAGTATTGAAAGCAAAGGTTAAAACTTGTTTTGCACACAAAACTTTTTAAAAAAAGTGTTTTTTATTTTTAATGTTTTTTTCTTTGTTATCCCAGTGAAGTCTAATTTATTGCTTATATACGACTTAGTTACTCACACTAAGAAATTTTTTATATATTTTTTTTTTTCATATTTGTATGGTAGGACTCTGAAATTGGTATAATACCAAGAGCTTTAAGTCATTTATTTGATGAATTGAGGCTAATGGCATTGGAATTTTCTATGCGTATATCGTACCTTGAGTTATATAATGAGGAATTATGTGATTTGTTGTCATCCGATGATAGTGTCAAAATACGTATTTTTGATGATAGCACCAAAAAAGGTTCCGTTATTATACAAGGTCTAGAAGAAATACCAGTTCACAGCAAGGACGATGTATATAAGTTGTTAGAAAAAGGCAAAGAACGACGAAAAACTGCTACAACATTAATGAATGCCCAATCATCACGATCGCACACAGTGTTTTCGATTTTAGTTCATATACGTGAGAATGGTATCGATGGAGAAGAAATGCTTAAAATAGGCAAACTAAATTTAGTTGATTTGGCGGGTAGTGAAAATGTATCAAAAGCTGGAAATGAAAAGGGTATTCGGGTCAGGGAAACAGTTAACATCAATCAAAGTTTATTGACGTTAGGACGTGTTATAACAGCATTAGTGGAGCGTACTCCACACGTACCATATCGTGAGTCTAAACTTACTCGTTTGTTACAGGAATCTTTAGGTAAATTAAATACATTTTTTTTTTGTATGATAAATTGTAAATTTTTATTTTGATTTTTAATTAAGGTGGTCGAACAAAAACATCTATAATTGCCACAATATCACCAGGACATAAAGATATTGAGGAGACGCTTAGTACTTTAGAATATGCACATCGTGCTAAAAACATACAAAATAAACCAGAGGTGAATCAAAAATTGACAAAACGGACGGTTCTGAAGGAGTATACTGAAGAAATAGATAAATTAAAACGAGATCTAATGGCTGCGCGTGATAAGAATGGCATTTATTTAGCTGAAGAAACGTATAATGAAATGACGCTTAAGATGGACTCCCAACATCGCGAATTAAATGAAAAAATGTTACTATTAAAAGCGCTTAAAGATGAGCTGTTGAATAAGGAAAAAATCTTTAATGAAGTTAGTTTAAATTTAGTTGAAAAAACAGAGGAATTAAAGAAAACTGAAAAGCATCTAAATCTGACAGCAGGCGCATTACAAGTGACTCAAAAAGTAATTAATATATTTTTTAAAACTTAAATATTTATTTATTCGCCCCTGCGACTCGTGGAATAACATTAGCATGACTTTCTCAGTATTACGTTCCTAGAAGGTTCTATATACAAGAAATAATATATATATCATGCAATACAACAAGTGAATTTGTTAATAAAACATAGAAAAATGTGCGAACATAAAAGTCAAGTACGGCTCAGTTGGTCAGTTGGTTAAGGTGCGCTAACCCTGAGCTTCAAATTTGGCAGGACACGAGTTCGATTCCTGGTACTTGCAGTTTCAAAAAATTATTAACGAATAATTAAAATTAAATACAAGAATTATTTGCAAGACCACTGCTGATGAGTATTTGGCAATACTCGTCACAGCTGTATGGTCAGCCAAAAATTCAATTAATTAAAATAATATGAAATTTATGTTGTTGTAATTCACCACTGTTCGAAAAAAATTCATTGTGTTTTTTTGTGTATTTTTAATAGAAATTACATGAAACCAAAAAGCGCTATAAGGAAAAAAAATGTTTGCTGAGTTCACATGTCAAAACGGAGGAAAAGTTAACAAATCAAGCAACAGAAATTTTACGAGCTGCTGATATCGCTACGAAGGACACAAGTGAGCTACATGTAAGTGATTTAAATATATATTTGTGCATTTATTAATTAATTACTGTATCATTAAGAATACAATTGAACGTCGTAAACATATTGATGATAAAATCCAAACTGCCTGTGAGCGCTTTACAGATCGTATGCACGAAAATTTTGAAATTATGGATGAAAATTTATCAAACTTACTGGACAAACATAAGTCATACTCTCAAATGCTTATGGAAGAATTTGGTATATAAATTTTATACAAATATAATAAATATTGTTAATAAAAAGTTATATAATTTTCAGACAATAATATTGCGAACGTACGAATTAATTTACTTTCGGAAGCAAATCAAAAGATTAATACACTAAATGTATTATGCGAAAAATCTGTGAAATCCACAGACACTATAACTGAGAAATACACAAATACTATAAATGAATTGAGTGGTGAACATAAGTCAGCAGTTTTAAATATGTTAGGAGAGTTGAGAAGCAAAGATGTGGAATTAAAATCACAACTTGTAAACAACCTGTCCGATATGCAAACCTATACTGATGAACAGTTGGCAAACATTAAATCGGCCCAAAAAAGTATAGTTGACTTTTTAGAATTAAATTCAAACAATGTCAAAATGCAAGCTATTAAATTAAAACACCAAATTGAAATTATAAAACAAATTCTTGCAAGTAATCTGCTAAATATTGGTAAAATACATACCGAAATTGTAAATGAAACTTCTTTAGCGGCACAACAACAAGCGATAGTCGATGAAATGATTCAAAAATTACAATCCATAACAGTACAGCGTAAAACATGTTTTAGTAACATGAGTGAAATAAGTACAAAATTAGAACAACAATGTCACAAAACAATTAATGAATTAGAGGTACATGCAAATAGCATAGAGGAAAATAAAGAAAAATGTTGTGAAGCTAATGCAATGTCACAAAACTTATTTGACAAACAAACTGAAACTTCTCTAAAATGTGTTGATAAATATATTTCTAAGTGCTCAATATTAAAGGCTCAGAGTGAAAATTATTTCGATCAACACGAGAAGTTGATTAAAACATTTGAATCAAATGAAGTAGAGCACAACACACAAACTCTTAAACTTCTATACGAACATGAAAGTGAGATTAAACAATTATCGGAGAAAAGCAAAGAAGACATGAAAGCAGCATCAGATGCCATAGCAGAAAGCTTAAACAATAATTCGCATAATTTAAATAGACATATTATAGTAGCAAGTGAAGTTGCTACAAGTTTACAAGACCATGTCAATGGTTATGCAAATTTATATAAAGCACAAATAACAAATTGTGCGCAAGATGTGAACACATTCAAAGATAGTGAATTACAGGTTTACAAATCAACCGGTGCAACACCGTCGAAACGTAATTTCAATTATCCACGAGTCTTAGCTGCAACATCACCGCACAATATTATCGTAAAACGCTTCCGACAAGAAAATGAATGGTCTGATTTAGACACAACAGCAACAATTGATGAGGAGGTAATAAAATCTTATTTAAATTAAATTAAATTAAATTAATTTATAAAATTTAATACAAAAACTTTTATTTTTTAGGGTAGCGGAGAAGAAAATACAATTGAATCTCCACAAAAAATATCTAGTTGCGAATTACTACTTAACTCTACGCCAATTGAACCTTCTGAAAGTTTGAAGACAAGTATTATTAGTATTAACTATAGTGACGGCAATATATCAAATCAAAATTCAAGTAAATTGCTGCGTCCATCTAATACACCGCAGAATAAAACTCCAATGAAGTCACCACGGTACAGTACACCAATCTCGTTGACTGTAAGTTCCTTTGTTATATTTTATAATAGTTGATGTAAATAATGCTATTTGCTTTATAATTTTCAGGAAAATAAAGAGAATGTATCCAGAGAAAGTTTCAAAAAACAATCAAAGTAAATTTTTTCAAAACTATTTATATAGACTAATTTTAAATGTGCTGATTTCTTAAGTCCAATTTATAAATTTATTTTTAATATTTTATATGAACTTTTTTAATTACGATTTATTTGCAGTACTCATATATTTTAACTTAATTAAATTTAATTGAAAAACCAGTTCATAATTTTATTTTATATAACTTTTTGTAAATATTTTATTATAATAAAAATTATTCCACAGTTTGATACTTAATAATATTTTCATATCTAATAATAATAAAATACTTTGTGTATATTTTTTAAAGAATAAAGTTGCATCAAAATAGATATTTATTTTTTTCTATTGTTATTAAAATTTGTATTCGCCAATTTGACTTTATCAAAAAAAATTAGTGCAAAAAATCTTTTTATTATATATTCCCATAAATACTCAACATGCGCCTTATATGCACATCAGTCGGCAGAACAAATTTTATTCTTTTTAGTTCATCTTAAATTAAAACTTCCGCATTTAAACTGAATACCACAAATGTATGTTAAACTTGACGCACAGGGTCATTAAACTTTTTATTTTGAAAATGTGTCTTTATATTATATACATATATGTGTTAAACACCTTAGAACACCAAATTTTGTTTGGCATGTCTTTGAAATAAATGTATTTACCATTTACGCAAATTTCTATAATAAAAATTTTAATTCATTGATAATCGCGGGAGTTGACCTTGCTGTGGAAAAAAAACATATTTAGGTAAATGGGTGCCTAGACATTGTTACGTTCACTACATATAATACACATTAAAAAACTAACCAACCAAATAGCTAAAATTTCGTTTTTTTTAAAGGTCAGTTACGTAGCGGAGCGTTCCTCTCTTGTTCATCACACTGTGTCCAAAAAAATAAAATGTTTCTATCTAGATAAAGCAATATAGTTTCGTCATTGTTTCCTCAGTAATTTGATTGATGACTGTACTTTATTTTCGTGTATTATTATTACTTTGCTATTAAATATACTTTTCTTTGATTTTATAGAATGAAAAATAAATATATGGAAGTTAGCTTAATTGCATACATGAAATTTGCATAATCATTTCTTTTTAATTTACTTTAAGATTAAGATTTTTATGCAGACGGTACTTGCAGATATTCGAGTTTATTTATTATTTTCATTTTTGGTGCTTTTAATTAGCACTTTTCGCTTTTATGTGTTTTTACTTAAAAACTTTTTGTATTTTTGGTGCTTTTACTTGGCACTTTTTTGCTTTGTTTGTTGCGCTTGCTTGGCACTTTCCCGTTTTTTCACTTATTTTGGTGTCGTTATCAAGTTCAAAGCTTGAAAGCTGGGGTTGAATGGACAAAAAATTAATATTTTTACTGGAGCAATAACCGGAACTGAGAAATATATTATTATGCTGAGCCTTTTCCGAGTTAGTACATCTGAGCACTTTTACTCTTTGATTACTGGAGGGTTTCTGCAGAGTCCCACCCTCTCATTGACTAATTTGTGTATTATTAATAATTATTAATAATTGTGTGATTGTTCAATGACTGATCTAAGATCAGCCTGTTGATTTTTACATATAGCTTTAGGGCTCTGTCCCTTATGTATTTTTTGACCGAATCTATTCTAGCATGTCATTCGTGCGGATGTACCATGACACTTTGAAAAGTCTTCGGAGAGCCTGACTTTGAGCAACTTGTAGCTTCTGGATAGTAGAGTCGGCCGCTTTGCTATACGTGACACACCCATAAAGTAGTGTTTTAAGTTACAGAAGATTAATTATTGAAGAATTTATATAAATAATAATGTTAATAATATGCACCGATTTTTTGATGCCAATCTGACACAGATTAGCTATGTGTTGTTATTACCAATTTAGATTTTAATTAAAATTCTACAACTTCTGTAAGTGATATGGTTCATAGTAACAGATAAGTAATAGGTGTGTTTAATAAATAAATAATGTTTATAGTGCATTGAAAAATTTCCCTAATAGAGTCCAATAATAATAAATGTTATGGAATAAGCATAAATAAATTTTATTTACTTTACAATATGTTTTAGACCGATTTTAAAGTTCTATTAACTATTAATAGAATAGAACTATTAAGTTTTAATATTCTATTAATAGAAGTGATGAGCCTGACCATCCGTCTTAAGTGTATGCGCGTTGCGGACCTTACCACTGTTCAAACAAAGTATGATACTAAACACTTTCATTCACATATGTTACTCAAATGTTCCATTAGGAGTGTTAGTATCTAAAACGCTACTAGCCTGTTAGTTAAATTTTAAATTCTTATATAATGGGTGTAATTAATAAACACAGTACTAAGTGCAGATATCTTTATGAAAATTGAAACCTTTTAAATTTAGTAATCTGATTGATAGATAGTTTTGAGAGACTAATATCTCTAAAATGATATTAATTAATCTTATGGTTGGTTTATTGATCTGTCAATAAAAAGTTCGCACCTTAATTTACATTGTCTTAACTGTAAGTTTGAGAAAGGACTTCATATCTATTTGTCACAGTCCAAATTTAGCGTATGTTAAACAAGCTTGAAACATACTTTCTTGAGTGTATTAGGTAGCCACATGACAAGAATGATTTTAAACCCTCTGATATTTGATAACCTTAGCTAAATGATTTTTAATACATATAAATCATTGAGAATATATATCTAAAATTCGTGACAAATATAATAATTTTCTATTGCCGGTCATAAGTTCCTCGTCTTATAAACGTGGTCAATCTTTAACTCCTAATTATATTGTTTTGATTATTCCAATACAAGGAAAAGTGTTTAATGACAACATATACACAATTATTTCTAATCATCTATAATCATTACTATATATTTTACCACCAATTTGTTTTCAGATAGTTCAAATGTCCGAAAAGTTCTTTCTGCCAGACGTTTTTTTCCCCAATAAAAAAAAAAAATTAATTCAAAAATTTTGCAAAAACATTGTAATTGGAGGTAGTTCCGAAGAGCCACTATATAAAGATTTTACATCTTTGATATATTTGACAATGTCTTGTCTATTTTGATTAAATTAATATCTGATATTCCGATAAAATAATGATATTAACATAAATTGCATAAATTAGTTAAATAATGAGAACATGAAAAGAAGATGGTCAGGTGGTTGTTGCAATTCTTGGGCGGTCTGTAAATGAAGCGTGAACAGATGTTGATCCATCCAAAAATAAATGTAAATAAATGTAAATTCTTTTTAAATTGCAAATTTTTTCCTCTGGCAACCAATGCTGTAAAATAAAAAAACAAAATTTCTAATGAATTGATCAATTAATTTAAAAAAAAACGTAGCGTATATATCCGATCATTCGTATAATGCAAACTCATTAAAGCATATCGACTGCGCGATTGACGAACACGATTTATCTGCTTTATGACGTTAAGGTTGCCGCTGATATGATGACGCTACAGTTGAGTGGGTTTGTGTCGCGTGGTAAAATTCTACATATAAGAAGCCCATGCCAAACTAAACCCGCGTTATTTAAGTACCACAAACTGAACAAATAGGAGCAAATCACGGTGTGCGAAATTTAAATTAATTTTTTTTTTAGTAGAACAAAAATAAAGTTAAAATGATTTAGTGATCATGAGTGTAAATTAAAAAATAAATTTATGTTTAAATAAATGTAAATATAATTAAGAATATTAAAAAAAATATACCTTAAATAAAATGTATTTTACGTCTACAATTTTTCTATTAATCGTGTCTTGTGCATACACATACGGTGATGATCGTTGGGTTTGGGCAAATCACCGACGTTATGAACGTGCAGAGCCAAATGCCAATTTAGATAGACGTGGCGATAAATATAGAAGTGAATTGTATGAGGAAGTTGCACGCGAACGTGAGCCTACAACACGAAGACCTATTCCTGGTGGAGCTCAAAATGATGAAATCGAAGATTATCCTGAAAATGAAAATCCTAATGTAGGTACACGCAATTATAATCCTTATAATCCAAACAATTTTAATGCCGGACAAGTAACTGGGTTTAATAATTATCCAAATGGTGGGTTTGCTGGTCCTGGAGCAAGTGGTGTTGGTAGTGCAGCAAATGGTATATTAGTTGGTCCAGGTGGTCCAACAGGCATTATAGGTAGACCACAAAATCAATATTTTCCTCCTGCTAATGGTCAATATCCTGGAGGTTTCCCTGGACAAACCGGTATTAATTTTCCACAAGTCGGTGGTTTTCCGGGTTATCCAGGACAATTTCCGCAACTGGGTTTTGCTAATGCTCAAGGTGGTGGATTACCTGGAAACAATGGTATTGGTCAATTTGCTGGTGGATATCCAAATCAAAATGGTTTAGGCTTTCCTCAAGCGCAAAGTGGCACTAATTTCTATCCCGGTGGTTTTGGTGGTCAAAATGGTTTACCAATCAATGGTGGTCAATTTCCTTCCGCACAATATCCCGGTGCACAGTATCCTGGTGGACAATATCCTGGAGTTCAATACCCAGGTGTGCAGTATCCTGGCGAACAACAATATCCTGGCGTCACTGTGCCACAATATACAGAAGGTTACGGCCTTGGTTACAATAACCCAATAAATCCTTTTATTGGACCCTATAATTCGCAAGTTGGAAATTCAATATTTGCAACGGGTTACGATGAAACTGAATCAAAACGTAAACTTGAGATTGAAGATAAAAGCGCCTCAGTGGAAAGCAGAAGTGCAGCAGTAAAAAAAGTTGATGATAAAGTGCACAAAAATTTTAAAAAATATAGATAGGAATTTTTAAATATATGCACAGTATTTTTATCTTTAAATTAGTATAAAAACTAAAATATAATGTAAATATTAAATATTTATATATCAATAATATATACATAAGAATTATGATAAGTAATTCATTATATAAAAAAATTTCATATATTAAAAATTTTAGGAATATTTTATTGATCGATTATTTTTTAAAATTTTTTCTATATATAAAATAACTAATTTATTAATTTCATCTATTAATAATGAAATTTGAAAAACGCACTACTTATTAATCATCTTCGTCACGATCTTCATCTTTTAGTATACCCAAACGCCTTGCAACTTCTTTCACATTAGCAATAAATTCTTCTTGTACTAAATTGAAACTCATAGCCAGTAAAGAAATACCGAAAAGTAGATATAGTGAGCAATATGCAATGGATTGCTCAGATTCGTCCTTAACACCCTTTGCTGGTACGAAATCTCCGAAGCCTAATAGCAAAAAAAAAAAAATTTGTAATATAATTTAGAAACCATTTAATTACTACTTACCGATTGTGGTCAATGTAATAAAACAGAAATACGCTGAATCCAAATAAGACCATTTTTCCCAATGTGCAAATAGTGAAGCTCCTCCTAGTATATAACTAATAACAAGAAAAACGCAAAGCCAAATTGGCACAGGACGGTCTTTTGGTGAAACATCACCATAGTAATAATCGCTCGCATCGTCTCCATACATCGAATCATCATCATAGTCGTAACTTGGACGTCTACGTACCTGTCGTGCTACTGCAAAACCCATTGGAGACATAATGCGCGGAGCTAATCTTTCTGAAAAGTGATTAACAAATGACTTTAAAAATTTATATTAATAATTACAATATATATAAAATTATTAATAGTTCGTTTAAACAATTTTCCATTTAGAAGAAAATAATTTTTTTACCTGCTCTTTCACGTCGTGGCTTACGATCTCTACTATTACGTTTGGGCGCTGAAGGATAGTCATCATAATCACCGTAACCACATTCCACATCATATTCGTCAGTGAATGATCTATCGTACTCTTCTTCTACGTAGTCTCCATAACGAGGAGAGCGTTCACGTCTATTTCTGTTATTGTGCGGTGCTGAAAGTTCCGGTAATTCTAAATGATTTCCATAGCGTGAATGTTGTCCTGAATTTTGACGGCCGAGACTATGACGTCGCTGTTGATTTGGATAAGGTGAATGATGACGGTGCTGTGAGTGTTGATGATGATTCTGATTTTGATTTTGATTTCTTACACCACCATTTGGTGGATCATGGTTATCAAAATTATGTTTTTGATGTGCAGAACGC